ATCCCAAGAGCTCTGGAATCAATGCAGGAAGCTTTCTTCGGCATGTATCCGCCCTATGCCCGCGCTGCAGCTTGCCCACCGCCAACTATAATCACACGCTCGCCTTCTGGTATGTGCTGCATAATCTCGGACCTTGAGCTTCATGCTAACCGCCAATTCCCTAGATGAGACTTTGTTCCCGAATGATAGTGGTTGTAGAAGATTTGCTCAATTATCCAGAGCCTTCGCACAGCGAACCGCTGATCGTTGGAACGAAACAGACGAAATGGAATATTTAAATTTCCTCATTGGCAAGTGGATGCCGGATTCGAGTAAAAGAGTAGCCGTCGATTCTCACCCTAGACTTTCTGGTATTATGGACACCATTAATTCCACCCTAGCCCATGGTCCTGAAACTAGATTACCCAAAGAATTCTACGATCAAAGAGGTCGGGCTATCATAGAAAAAATAGGAGTTGAGGAATGGTTTACTGGATACAACGAGTCTGAAGAATATCGTTCTCTTGGTATTGGAGGACTCATGGGCGATTTAGTCGAGAGAATGGTTGGGAGTGTTGAACACAACGGGCAAGATGGCTTGTTTGAAACTGGCGGTGAGAATGGTTCGACTGGCATCGGAAGAGGAGGGGAGAGAGCTATAAAGATGGGCTTGAGTGGTTGCCATGATACAACTCTTGCCGCCGTTCTTACTAGTCTAGGGGCATTCGGGGACCGGCCTTGGCCACCTTATACGTCTCATATTGCTTTAGAGATGTTTCGTAAAAAGCAATCCTCACTTGGAGAACCCAAGTATGAGATTCCCAGCAGCAGTACTGGTACCGGAAAAGGACTGCTTTCAATATTTGGATTGGGCAAAAAAACTGAAGCAGGGCCCATTGGTATTGCAAGGAAGAAGCTTAGTGACCTCTCGGAAACGGAGAGATCCAAGCTAGATGGCTATTATGTTAGAATTCGTTATAATGATGAAGTTGTGACAGTTCCTGGGTGTAGGCCACAAGGCAAACATCTCGATGGCGACCAGTCATTTTGTACATTGGTATGTTATCACCCTCAAAAATCCCCAACCGACGTTTGGCTAATCATCTCTAGGCGGAATTCAAGAACATAGTCGACAAGTTCACTCCCGCTCACTGGAAGAAGGATTGCTTAAACAATCTAGATGCACCGGCTTTTCCCAAGATCAAAGAGCCCGCGGGATATTAGATATGATATATGAATATATTACACAAGTTGTTTTTAGAGGGGAGGGGGAGTTATAGATGTACACTACATTATGATTTTGCATTGTACAGGCTTAGATAAATTGTCAAATGTAATTAGAAGAAATTAATGCATAATTTCTGGCGTCTGGGATATCATGCTATCTATAGTCTTCTTGTATGCCAATCTATCCACCACGTTGGTCGGGTATCGTTCTCCATATCCAAAGATAAGTCTAAAACATATCCAGGATTTCATCTAAAATTGTGACCATCCAGAATAACTCGTCCTACAGTGCATCAGTCATTACAATCTAGATGGCTCAGAAGTATTTCCTGGTTTATTTCCTTCGATGACAACACCAAGCGCAGATCCTGCATCTAGGGCTGGCAGAGCTGGAGTTGTAGAGAATGATTCGTCTCCAGAGAAACGCCTGTGAAAGGTTAGTATACATCATTCTGCAGTCTGACTTCAAAATAATTATCGATTAACTTACCATCCTCGTTCTTCTCCTCCACTTAAGAAGCTACAATCACCATTCTTCTTGATTTCCCATCCACCTCCAACACCATTGCCATTCCTCCATCCCACTTCAGGAATCTCTTCTTCTGGACCTTTCCACATATCCACATCCTTTCCTGCCTCATCTCCACTCTCTTTTCTCTCAAAGACACTCAGCCCACAAGTAAACGGTCTGAAATCCTCCTCACCGACATCCTCTGGCATTCTCCCCGTCAAACATCTGCCAATCGCTATCAAAGTCGCGGCATGTGTGCATATGATTATGGCCTTAACACCCTCTCTATCCGCATCTTCTATAACCCTATGTAACGCATATGCCGTCCTATCATGCAAAGTTTCTATACTCTCTCCATTAACACTTGGTCGAATTTTCGGCACATATTCTTTATCGTATGTAGGGAATAAAGAATGTAATAATTCTGGCGTAGCAGGACTAGGATGATCGAATCGGGCAGTACCGTACCATTCACCCAAGCCGTTCTCACCGCGAATTCTAAGGGACGCGGGGTCACTTGTGCGGGAAGAGAGATGGGGGATGAGAGGAGATATCGTTTGAATGCAGCGGTAGAAGGGAGAGGAGTAGATTCGCTCAATGGGTGGAGAAAGGGTGCTTAGATGGAGTCCAAGTTCTGCAGCTTGCGCTTCGCCATATCCTGCGAGCGCGGGATCGCTAGGTATACCGGTAGGAGTGGGGATATTGGCGGTATATGTACCTGTTGCAGGGTCGACAATCCAATTTGAACGAAACTTGGGAAAGTCGGTCAGTATGGATAAAACACAAACTATGAGAGAAAACTTACGCCGTGGCGAGTAACGTAGATGGTTGTCAACGAACGTGTAGGGTTTGAAGACATTTTTGAAAATAAAATTTCGAGTTTGTGAAAAAAATATTATACTTTCAGATGCGAGGACTGGATGTTCTATGTTGTTTTTTCACGATGACGTTTTGTGGAGGAAATTCAACATGTACCTGGGAGCTGGGCCTTTCTCCGCTCCTCGGCTGCGATAAGATAAAGAAAGGGGCCCGTTTGGAGGAGTTCCGGAGTTTTTAGATAGACTTGGGACAATGTCACATCAAAGAGCAATGTTTTGTTTTGACTTCATTAGCAGGAGATGAGACTCGATTTCTTTGTGTCATTTATTACATTCAATAATTCCTCATGGTACAGTCAAGATCAATGTGGACAGGATGGGGTCGCATTTATACATCATTGGTAATTAATACACAGGCATGGTTATAGTCCTATACAGCGAAGAGTCCATTCGATACGTAGAACATCCTATTCATAACTATGATCTATTCCATAGTAAATCAAGCCTCTTTGCCTCTTGTAGTTTCATACCTATAGAATGTCAGTATCGAGTCATGTTAAGATATTGTTTTCACTTAAGGTGGCAACATACCTCTTTCCTCTGAATGCCCAAACACCCCAGTTACCGCAGCTAACGTCTTGAGGATCCATGTCGTTCAGATCCCATCTCAAACTTCGGAAGCGATTCTCTCCTGGTTCCATCAACATGTCCATTTCTCCACCTACGGTCTTTTTGACCCAATCAATATCTCGATCCATATCGTATTGTGTGTATCCCGTAACCAAGATTGGCACTTTGGTCTCTAACAGTTGTGGGATAGTTTCCGCCCACTCGTGTGAACTGGCTGGATGTCCTAAACCAGGATGGAAAAGCATGAAGCAATCAAAGTAAGGGTCATAAGGATAAAAGTGACCAGCTTTGTGAAGAGTGTGATAATACTCCACAAAAGTGCTAATCTTCAAGGAGTTTGTGATACGATCCTCAACAATTGAGCCAAAAGGATTTCCCGGAGTTCTCTCAGGTAAGGGAAATTCAGCATCTCTGTTCGCCATACTTTCGGGGCCAATGAAGATCAAGTGGAATGTGACTCGAGGAAATAGATGTGCTAATTGCACCCAAACTTCTCTTGGCAACGAAGATTCAGCACGAGCTCCTAGAATGAAGATTCTCACTGGTGGCGGGGTTGGTCTAAGATTCTTGATCTCAGATCCACCACCGGTTCGTGCAGGGTGTAGGTTATAACGAAGAGCTGATTTTGTTAGCCAACAGTTTTTCTAAGAGATATGGAGGTCCGACATACCACTCAAACTCTTGAGACCTTCGACGGTCAGTCTTCCACCCTTTTTGATATTATAAGGACTCAATTCATGCAGCACACTTCCAATAGTAAGAGGGTACGTCAACAACCTAGTCGCTTGTCGTAAACTTCTTTCGTCATTGATGGCCTTAAACTCCCTGGAAAACAATAGAGTATCCCAATTTGTCATGTTAACCATCGCTTCTTCAATCTGATCTCCAGGGTACTCGAATTCTGGAAAGAACCTGCCGGAGCGTAGATCATGATCATCCTCGTTTATCTCCCGTAGGGTATCACAAATTTCCAAATGTGCCTCATAATCATCAGCCCAATGCTCTTCTGAGCATGATACAGGTATTCCGCAGTCTGGGCATTCGAAATCGACGTGGGCTGGTGGTAGCGCACCTGTAGCAGATTTCCGTGCTTCGGGATCGTCTGGATTTGTTGGCAATCGAGTCTGGTGATGATCCGGATGTGGGCAATAGGCGTTCTGCTTCATAAAAGCTGCTCGTCTTCTAATTTCGGGGGATGGCGAATTCGAGAACGAGTGGAAGAGGTTGTTCGGCTTCAAGAGAGCTCTTCCTTCAACCTCTGGAGGCGGGGTTGATTCCAAGCCACTTGGAGTTCTATATTGCGGAGGCTCATTTCTTGCTACCTGCCCTTGCCCAAATGATATTGCTCGACGGCCCAAGTCCTTTTGCGCCAATTGATTCCCGGATGGCAAATTCGAAGAGAGCTTGGTACTTCTACTATTACCAGAAGTAATGGTTCTATTGCCCAAGCCGATTGACCTAGGCGTTTTCCTGAGCGCATGTAAGCACTGCCGGCAAGTATATGAAGTTGAAGGACGCATGATCTCAAACACTGTCAAGCTTCTTGAAAAAAAATTGAAGAAGTAAAGTGCTTTACAAACTGTGTATAAGAAATTTGATACATGAGGTGATTTCTATGATAAGTGGTCGCGTATTTGCGTATCCTTTATTAAAGCGGCATGGATTCTTTTAGCTCGTGAATATTTGTAGATTCAAGAAAACAACCTCGAACACCCAAAGCTTTGCGACAAGCTACTTGTCGAACTCTTACAAATGATACTACCATCTTTGCATTTTCGCGCAAAGTGAATAATCTTACCTGAAGCTGCGCAGACTTTCTGCGCCGCTGCCCAAACATGGCTACCACATCAAACCAATTCTTGTACAGCTTGACCATCAACCCTCCCACCGCCATCACCCAAGCAATCCTCGGACAATTTGCTGGCACGAAAGAGCAACAGATTGTGACTGCCTCTGGTTCGCGTCTCACTCTCCATAGACCAGATCCATCGCAAGGAAAGATCATCACAGCACTTTCACACGATGTTTTTGGTATAATAAGAGCTATTGCAGCTTTCAGATTGGCTGGTAGCAATAAGGGTAAGTCCTTCATCTCATCCCACTTGAGCTTCACTTAGTGATTTGAAGCATCGATGGCAGCACGAATCATACCGATATGAACAGCCTATGGGGACGAGTGTTATAGAAACTCGGTCACGATTGAGAGCTAAGCTAAAATAAACAACCGCAGATTACATTATCATCACATCCGACTCTGGCCGTATAACGATCGTCGAGTTCGTCCCCGCACAAAACAAGTTCAATCGCCTACATCTCGAGACTTTTGGCAAATCGGGCGTTCGAAGAGTAGTTCCAGGGCAATACTTGGCTGTGGACCCGAAAGGCAGAGCTTGCTTGACTGCATCGGTGGAGAAGAACAAGCTTGTATATGTCTTGAATCGCAATTCTCAGGCGGAACTTACTATATCATCCCCCTTAGAAGCCCATAAAGCACAAACTTTAGTGTTCGCATTGGTAGCATTGGATGTGGGATACGCAAATCCGGTGTTTGCGGCTCTCGAGGTTGATTATGGAGAGTCGGACCAGGATCCCACAGGTCAAGCCTATGACGAGATTGAGAAACAGCTTGTCTACTACGAACTTGACCTGGGCCTGAATCATGTGGTGCGAAAATGGTCGGAGCCTGTCGATCGAACGGCGAATATACTTTTCCAGGTGCCTGGAGGAACGGATGGACCTAGTGGTGTTTTAGTTTGCGGAGAGGACAATATCACCTATAGGCACTCTAATCAAGAAGCGTTCCGCGTTGCTATTCCTCGCCGCCGTGGTGCAACGGAAGATCCACAAAGAAAACGAAACATTGTAGCAGGAGTTATGCATAAACTCAAGGGTGCTGCAGGAGCTTTCTTCTTCTTACTACAGACAGATGATGGTGATCTTTTCAAAATAACCATTGAGATGGTTGAAGACGATAATGGGCAACCAACTGGAGAAGTCAGACGTCTCAAAATTAAGTACTTTGATACTGTGCCTGTTGCGGCGAGTCTCTGTATCCTCAAAAGTGGATTTCTTTTTGTTGCAAGCGAGTTCGGCAACCATCAGTTCTACCAATTTGAGAAGCTTGGTGATGACGATGAAGAAACAGAATTTGTCAGCGATGATTTCCCAACTGGAGCTCATGAATCATACACGCCCATCTATTTTCATCCACGACCAGCTGAGAATTTGAGCTTAGTCGAAAGTATCGACTCGATGAATCCGTTGATGGACTGTAAAGTTGCCAATCTCACGGACGAGGATGCACCACAAATCTATTCCATTTGTGGTACCGGCGCTCGAAGTACTTTCAGAACCCTGAAACATGGCTTAGAAGTAAGTGAAATCGTCGAATCCGAACTGCCTGGTGTGCCATCTGCAGTCTGGACGACAAAGCTTACTAGAGGTGATACCTATGATGCTTACATCATTCTCTCTTTCTCAAACGGTACTTTGGTTCTCAGCATTGGTGAAACTGTGGAAGAAGTAACTGATACTGGGTTTTTGTCATCGGCGCCAACACTAGCTGTACAGCAACTTGGCGAGGATTCCTTAATTCAGGTGCATCCTAAAGGTATTCGACACATTCGCGCGGATCGTCGTGTGAATGAGTGGGCTGCTCCTCAGCATCGTTCTATCGTTGCAGCTACTACAAACGAACGACAAGTTGCTGTAGCTCTAAGTTCTGGAGAGATTGTCTATTTTGAGATGGATTCAGATGGATCTCTCGCCGAATATGACGAAAAGAAAGAGATGAGCGGTACAGTTACCTGTTTGAGTCTTGGTGAAGTTCCAGAAGGACGTCAAAGAAGTCAATTTTTAGCTGTTGGTTGCGATGACTCAACAGTACGTATTCTGAGTTTGGATCCCGAATCAACACTGGAGAACAAGTCGGTTCAAGCTTTGACTTCTCCTCCAAATGCTCTTTCCATTATGGCTATGTCGGACTCATCATCTGGTGGCTCAACTCTCTACCTTCATATCGGACTCTATTCTGGTGTCTATCTACGAACCGTTTTAGATGAAGTGACTGGAGAGCTCTCTGACACACGAACACGTTTCCTTGGACCAAAGCCTGTCAAGCTTTTCAGAGTAGCCGTTCAAGGTCAGACTGCAGTGCTTGCACTCAGCTCTAGACCATGGCTCGGATATTCCGATCCCGCCACCAAAGGGTTTATGCTCACCCCACTAGACTATCCAGCTTTGGAATGGGGCTGGAATTTCAGTAGTGAGCAGTGTACTGAAGGAATGGTGGGAATTCAAGGACAAAATCTAAGGTACGTTCATACAATTGTTATATTTTCAAAAGCACCATATACTATGATGATTTTCTTATCGTTAAACTTCTTATGTCGTCCATGACTATGAGGATGTAATATTATAATTCCAATTGTTCCTTCTGAAATATCTAATCCCACTCAATTATTCAAAAATTTACACTTGGTTTGGAGCAATGGCTAATTCACCATAGAATATTTTCTATCGAGAAACTCACCGATAACCTTTTGCAAGAATCCATCCCTCTAACCTATACTCCTCGTCGTTTCGTCCGACATCCCGAACATCCTTGTTTCTATGTCATCGAAGCAGACAATAACATACTTTCTCCAGCCACAAAGCAGAAGCTACTCGAAGATCCTTCTGTTACAAATGGTGATGCCACAGTACTTCCCCCTGAGGAGTTTGGTTACCCGAGAGGAACAAACCACTGGGCGTCTTGCATCTCTGTCGTCGATCCTGTGACCGAAAAGAAAGTCTTGTCTACAATTCACCTCGAGGACAATGAATGTGCAGTCAGCATCGCTGTTGTTGCTTTCGCTAGTCAAGAAGATGAAACATTCTTATGCGTCGGAACTGGTAAAGATTTGGTGGTTAGCCCGAGATCGTTCTCTGCAGGTTTTATTCACGTGTACCGCTTCCACGAAGACGGTAAGGAGCTCGAATTCATACACAAAACGAAAGTTGAGGAACCACCTATGGCACTACTTGCTTTCCAAGGTAGACTATTAGCTGGAGTAGGGAAAGATCTACGTATTTACGACCTTGGAATGCGACAACTCTTACGAAAAGCACAATCTGAAGTTGCGCCTAATATGATTGTTGGATTGCAAACCCAAGGTAGTCGTATCATTGTCAGTGATGTCCAAGAGAGTATCACTATGGTCGTGTACAAATTCCAAGAGAATAGACTCATTCCATTCGTGGATGATACTATCGCAAGGTGGACATCGTGTACTACCATGGTAGATTATGAGACTGTGGCAGGAGGGGACAAATTCGGCAACATTTGGCTTCTTCGTTGCCCCGCTAAAGCCAGTGAAGAAGCGGATGAAGAAGGCTCAGGTGCTCATCTTCTACACGAACGTCAATATCTGGCTGGAGCCCCTCATCGATTAACATTGATGGCGCATAACTTTTCCCAGGATATTCCTATGAGCATTCAAAAGACAAACCTCGTTGCCGGAGGTAGAGATTGCTTACTGTGGAGTGGTCTTCAAGGCACACTTGGTATCTTGATACCATTCGTCAGTCGAGAAGATGTAGACTTCTTCCAGACATTGGAACAACATCTTAGATCAGAAGACCCGCCTTTGGCTGGAAGAGATCACTTAATATACCGAAGTTATTATGTGCCAGTAAAGGGCGTCATTGATGGAGATTTATGCGAAAGATATACCCTCTTGCCAACGGACAAGAAACAAATGATTGCAGGAGAGTTGGACCGCTCGGTTAGGGAGATTGAGAGAAAAATATCGGTAATTACCCCTATTCATCTTTCTTGGATACCACAAGGCTAACAATAATTCTAGGATATTCGGACACGATCGGCATATTAATTTGGCGTAATTTGGGACAGGGTCTTGTACCAGACGGCGCTGTATATTTTATAAGGTGCTTGATGTGCACTGTAACATGGACTCCATCCATCTCATGATGTTATGTTAAAATACAAAAATGAAGAGGAATCTAAAACACGCAGTTATACAGCAATGTGCGAGCAAAAATCTCATGATCTCTGTCCTGTGAATCTTCTTCTCGCAACATCATATCTCGACTTCCCTTTTCCCTTTCCTTTCCCTTTATTCGATATAGGATTTTCTTTCTCCCATCTCTCATCATCTTTATATATTCCCATTGCGAGCTCAAGGTCGTAGTTCGCTTGTTCGAGATATAGGACTGCAATATCGTATCTAACGGGAAATTCATTATTAGCCTTAAGTCCTTCCAGTGTTATCCACCACCCCTTTTATTGAAACCCACACACTCGATAGGGTTTGAATTCCTACAAGCTGTACAGGTAGCTCTTCTCTCTTTCTCAATTTATCTCCCCGCAAATCAGAAACACAAACTCACTCAGAAACTTTACACCCAACCATGAATCTCCTCACGCAACTCTTCTTCCTCTCTTCTTCCTCCCCCTCCACAGGCCGCGGGCTCAAACTCACTCCCCCTTTATACCATTCCCCAGGTATCAATATTGTTCTCCTAGCCAGAAGGAGGTGATCACTTGTTATACCATTTTTCTTTCGCAACACATCAATTGGTACACCGTAGCGAAAGGATAGAGAAGTCATGGAATCGGTGGCGTGCGAGAGGAAATGGAGGGTATCTTCAGATTGTGGTTCGGTTTTCGACTCCAACTGTGGTAGGGCTTGTGATTTGGAGTCTAGAGCGGGAGAGTAAGTAGGAGGGGAAGGTCGTGGATTCGATTCGGAAGAGGAATGAAGGGATTCGTAGGAAGGCGGTTTGTCCGACGGCGCAGAAGCTGCTACCGAATTGTCCACCGCTTCTGCACTTCTAACCTGACAGAATGGACAGTAACTCCCGAATCTCTCATTGCCCTCTATACATTCCCCGCAGATAATGCGTCCACAGCATGATAACCTTCTATTTTCTCTGCTACTTCTCCTTTCTTTCTCATTCCAGTGTGTGTCTTCTGTTTCCTTCTCCATGTCATATGCCGGGCTCTTCTCTGAGAAGACCACTTCTTCTTTCATTTTCTCATTCAAACTTGAACCACTTCTCGTCGATTGAAGGGAAGAATTGCTTCCTAGCGTAGATGCCGAGTAAGAAGGTAGGCCGCTCTTCCCTTCATTCCTCTCTATCTGCACAAGTAGACGCGCACAAGTGCAGCAAGATTCCTGGCTCATTTTAGTCATTCTTCTAAACCGTATGATATCAAGTATGCGTAGAAAAGATTTTGGTAAACAGAGAAACAAGTGAAGGAAAGCTCTAATATTGATTGTTTTATATGATTTGATTTATTGTACAAGTAATGCTGCCTCCTGATAACATTGATAGCTGACTATTTGCCCCTCGCTTCATACGAGTACGGAAGGCGGGGTGACCTCGATGTGACGTAGCGCTACATGTTTTCTTATCGGAATGCACAATCGTCATCTACCGACCTCCTCTGCAATTCTTCTACATCATTCAACTTCGGTCTCCTTTTTGGTAACACGTAGAACATTGAAAACTTTTCTAATCATATCACATCATTTCTAATTTCTCCTACCCAACATCGATACTTTTACATCATGTCGAGTATCCAATTCGTTATGACTATCTCCTACCTACCTCGGAATCCTCAGAATACCCATAATCAGTATCGGCATTCCATCGTCTGAACGTTCAAACGGTTGCGGACCTCTCAGCGTCCTCTTCAGCGTCCCCATCAACTCCTTTAATCACCAAACCTTCGTCCAGCTTTTCTTTGGACGATTTAAAAGGGGAGGTGGCATATACATGTACTTAGCTCCAGCACTCCGATCTATTCTATGTCTTCTCAGATCAACTGTCGTATTGGGAAATATCAAATTATAAACCGACAATATCTCATCCGCAAACTCATAATTCCCCAGGTCCTTTTATCTCGTATTGAACTCTAGGCACCTCTTCTCACCCTCTTTGGGCAGCAAATGAAGGGAACCATTCCTTTGCATAGGTCTCACCTCGCAGATGTATCTAATCTTACGCTCTTCAACCACTAATGACTCTCGAGATCGTACTCACATCTGATTCATCTCCGCCAGTAGAAGGTGTCTGCGAAAGATGTACGTCTGCTTGTCGCCGATGATTCGTTTCAGGTACGCATAATCTATCGCTATTATAACATCGGATGAACTCAGGCTACTGACATAGTTAACGGTCTATTCTTGCTTTAGGTTTCCCCTATCATTGTACATATGCAGTAACCACACGTGGAACGTACTTTTGATCTTCTGTCATCCCTTCTTTAACGGTCGTCTCGTTTGATATCTCTGTCATCGCCTTTATATCTTCCGAGCATCTTCGCAATCGGGTTTTCTCCCCCATCAATTGGTCATATTCCTCTGCTATACTACTAATCCTCTTCTGGATATTTTCAAGTTCATCATGAATCTTAAGACTTTTATCCTGGAATCCTATTTCTAATAGGTGCTGACCATCCTTGTTGGCTACCTTTGTACCTGGTGTCCTCTTACCTGGACTGCGATCTCGAATACTCTGGCTGTTCCGTATCTCGAGGCTTTGCGATGTAGTTGACTGTTGTTTACAACTGTCTTCAACGTCATCCGATGATTGAACGGACGCAAAAACAAAAGAAAGCCCCGTAAGAGTTTGATTCACAGGAAAGACTTCCCTTCGAATGGGTAGTTGAGTGTAAATTGGTGGTCGAGCGACAATAGGAAATATTGATGGCAGAGTGCATGAACCTGTCGGGCCTTTCAAGATACTTCTAATTGATGGTAGTTTAATGGCATCCTTCGAGGGAGAAGAAGTCATTTTTGAATGGGGTCGATTCGCCGAAATAGATGTTCCCTTTACTAAGTATGTATTTAGTTTTACCATGTAGTTGCTACGTTCCTACACGTTTATAAGCTGCGGACAGCCACCAACTCGAAAGGTCACCATCCCCTTCATCCTACCTACCACGAAACGAAGAAGGAGCCACCAGTTACGAAACCCACACGCCAAGTCCTGAAACTCCACGTCAAATCTTACAAACAATAAACAGACTACAGTAGGGCGTTGATTCTAGTTTACGGAGTATGAAACATAAGTTGCTGCGGCATAGGATGATGGTTAGATGATGGTATTCTCAGGACGAGTACGAGTGTAATATAAAACAATCACTTTGGAGGAGCGAAGGGAACATGCGGTCCTCTACAGTTGGTAACTTTCACACAATGGATAGGTAGATCTGGAATTCAAATCTTGGATTCTATAGACCAAATACCTCTCTGTAATGCTAATCGTACACCTGCATCTTAACCCTTACTCCCTTTTTGCTACACTTACAACTTTCCCTTCATCATTCATCATTCACCATCCACTCTTCCCTCTCGCTATTCACACTCTGCTCTTCTTACACACCTGTTATTTGCATGCGCCTACTCCTCGTCTACTCTTATCACTCTCCCTCTCCCTCTCCCTCCTCCTCTTTCAAAACCATCTCTCCTAGCTATCTAGCTTCTCAAACCTTGGAAGTCAACGCAATCTTTTTGTAACACCTACTTATCTACCTAGCTATCTAGTTACAACAACGACACAACAACGACACAACGATACAACGCAATCATGAAATCGCTATTCCGATATTCAAATATCCCAATATTTCATTCAAAAGTTTGCACGAACACCTCCTACCTACGTAGTACGTAGTACTCCAAATAGTTAAACGAAACAAACGCATAATCTTATCTTCTGATGATGCAAGTGCGTTTTGGGGGGTGTATACATGCACAGTGTGTCTCTCCTGGTAACAGTACCGTCAAATATCCATATTACAGAAGACTTCGCGTTCAAAAGTTTGCGCGATATTGCTTGTTGATCAATATATACCTAGCGGTATGTAAAAACTCTTCTACAACTTCATCTTTCGCAATCTAGAAAGTTTGAGGGGGCGATAATCAAAGCTCATGAAAGATTTTTTTAGATGGAGTTATATAACTTTTTTCATTACTATCTATACATGACGTTTGTCCTCACCCGAGTCAAGTATCTTTGCCGGCCAACGTGTTTGACTCTTCTGCCTCCCCAGTCCCCCCTTCGAACGAGAAGTCGGGGATGTCTTTAGGATAAAGACATCTTGACGAGTATGTTTGAACCGTTCCTTTCGTTCTCACGTCGTTTGGATGCATGATTGAGATTGGATTTGGAATCGGATTAGGGCCGGGTATGAAGGGTGTTCATTTCATCTGGTCTCTCGATAGTTTGAGATTCGAATCTGTATATGTACAGTATTATGTTCTGATGGAGAAAATATGACGTGATGTTTCTTTTCCCAGAAAAGAATATCTACAGACTTGCCCATCCTGGGAAGAAACTTCTTATACAGCGATTATATAACAATTACGATGGAACATATGTTAGTGCGTGCCTTGTATCAGTGACGATATTCCTCAATCCAATATATCGACTTCTTGCATTACGGTTCCGTTAGAAAGAGGAAAGGTTCCGTTTGAAAGATCTGTGGTTTGGCTGATCGTGATTGGGCCCGAAATAGATTCTTGAATCAGACCATCTTCGTTGAGCGATCTAGATCGATCGGAGTGTGGTGGGGTGATACCATCATGTTCATCACGTTCGCGCTGTTCCCAAAGCATTTGCGTTCTGGCCAAAGCCAATGCAAGTAATTCCTTCTCGTTTGAATTTTCTCGTCTTGATACTTTGGGTTCTGGAAAAGGTTTCGTGCTTGTTTTGGTTTCGATTTTTGTATGTGTGACTAAGGTTCCACTGATGTAGATTTGAGGCTCAGGCCAGAATGGTTGGCTCGGATCATGATCTGAGTCTTGCTCATATCTGTTGACCGGAGTGGCGCCTAAGGGGACAAGTTCTTGGTATTCGATGGCTATTTGACTATCTCGTAGGTGAGGAAAATTAGGCACCACATACATGAACTCCGATACCTACAATGATGTGAGCAAGCTAACCAATTTCAGAAATGCAGAACACGTACCTTTACGAAGAAAAGATCAAGCCCAAGGAACAGAGGCTTAGCGTCTTCTGCCAGGTGCGCACGTTCATCAGAAGGAACGAGGATATTTGGCTTGAAAGGATCACGAGAATATTTTGCGTGTGCACGGGGCCATATAGCTTCCTTGGCATCCATCTCTAATGGAATACGTTCCCATGCCGTATCTATCACAGCAAGTCAATACAATTTCTTTACTCGTTCACTTCCCTGTACTCACATCTTGATAACTCGAGGTCTTTCTCTCCTAGCAATAACGCAACATCAGTGTTGAGCATCCACTGCTCTCGCGCACTGGGGCTGCCTATTGCTTCTGGTCTGATGGTATCATATCGATATCCTTGTACGATTCGGAATTTGGGCAAAGAAGCAATTTTGAGTGTCTCGGCTTGCGGGAGTTGATCAAAGACTCGAAGGAGAAGTGGAAGTTTTGATAGTCTTTGTTCTTCCTTTTCTCGCGCCTGTCTCGCTTTCTCAGACCGTTCTCGCTCTTGCGCAGCGGCTCGGGTTTGTTCCAATTTCTCCCGCTCTATCCTTTTCTGATCGTCGTATATTCGCCTTTGTTCTGCTTTGTCGCGTTCTTCCTGGGCATGTCGTGATTTTCGGTCCTCTTCTTCCTGTGCTCGCTTAGCAGCTTCCTCAATGGCTAGCTTCTCCTGAGCCTCTTCGGCTTCTCGAGCTTCTTTTGCCTCCTTTGCTTCTTTCTCCCGCGCTTCTCTCTCCTTTGCCTCTTTCTCTGTTGCTTCCCTTGCTTCCTTCTCTTTTGCTTCCCTTGCTTCCTTCTCCTTTGCTTCTCGAGCTTCCTCCGCTGCTTTCGCTTCACGAGCTTCTTTGGCCTGCTGCTTGACTTCTCGAGCTTCCCGAGCTTCCCTGGCCAGTTTCACCTGCTTCTTGCGTTCCAGATCGATCAGGTTTGAGAGCTCGGGTTTTTTGGCTGCTTGGATTTCGTCGTTCTCTTTGTCGAAACATGTCTCATTTTCCCCAGTGGATTTTGACGAAGATCTTGATGTGTTCTCTCTGGTAATTTTTGAAGCCCATTTGTTCTGAGATGTTGTATCAAGATTGGGTGCTGGCTGGTCAGTACACGAATTTGATGTATTTTGGTCTGTGATAATATGCTTTGAAAGTCCCTCTACTTTCTGGCGCTTAGATGGAGCACCATCAGTCTCCGTGGGAACCATTGTATCAAGTGTACCTGTGCGAGGTGGCGTTGTGCTCTTGCGTTGTCGTTTTATCGGACTCTTATCATTACGAATAGAAGCTAGTCGGTCTTTAGAATCATCTCGTTTTGTACCTTTAGCTTTGTCATGCTTTTCGCTTTTATCCGAAGCCATCTCGACGATGAAAGGTTTTGAGACCTGGTCTTCATTTGCAAGTTCTGTTGTTTGCGCAATGACTGTGGTTTTCTGTTTGCCATCTTTGCTCTTCGACTCTTCTACCTGGTCTCGATCTTGGACAGATACGGTAGAAATATTTGATGCAATACTTCCACGCCCTTGTTTATCTCGTTCCCCTCTCAAGTCCTTACCAGAGACAAGCTTACGCCGTGGTTTCGGAGGCTCGTTTTCAGATGACATCACCGCAGCATCAGCTTCTGTAACCTTCGAAGCTTGCAATTTTTTCTTAGGAGGACCTAAAGGAGTGCTTTCTGTGTCTGAAGTCGAATGCGAAGCGTTGCTTTCCTCTTTTCTTGGACGGCCTGGACCTCTTCTTGCCTGGTTCTGTGTGATAAGGCCCGGATGAAGGGAGTCGCTGCTTGGGCGACGTGACAATCCTACTTCTAAACTCCTCATCGATTTTGAAGGACTCCTCTTCCGTGATGGTGAAGATCGATCACGGGTAGTCCTTACTGGCCTTCTAGAATCGCGGCCGCGATCAGAGTCTCGATGAAGTTTGGGGGAGCGGGATTTGGAGGGCGAAGTTTTGGCTGGCTTCGAATATGAGTTGAAAGCATCTTTGAGTGTTTCAACAACTGAGTCATAGTTGGGACTGCCCCTCTCTCTTTCCTGCGCATGTTCATAGTAAGTCTTATCCTTCAAGCGCCTGGTCGGGTCAAAGTCTCCTGAAAGCAAGCACTTAACCACGTCAATATGACCTTTATGAATAGCACAAAGCATTGGTGTAGACCATCGAAATTCTACACCTCTTAGAGGCTCAGGATCGCAGTCGTAGTTACCAAGGCCAAGTAGTAGATCGACAGCAAATTTGTCGCCAGCTTTTGCCGCGATCAGAAGAGATGTTGGATCCTTCCCCTTCTTTTGATTGACGTCTAGCCAATTATAGATGTTTGGGTGATCGCCGTTTCGACAGGCTTCCCGAAGCATTTCAGCATTATTATGATCTCGATATAAATCTCGGTGTGTGGTTCTATACGACCGTGCTCGCAGGCCGTTCGATATACCAGGATGCTCAGAGGTAGGGCTGTGATGAGGACTATTTCTTGAATAGGAGTCATGATCTGCATTTTCTCCCGTTGTTTGTTCGCTCAGGACAGTATCTTCATGGTACTTAGACTTGGCATCTTCAATGAGCTGCTGCATCTCTTTCCTCGTTTTTCTGGTATTTTCCTCGTCCTCAGGAACACTAACATAAGCTGCTGCTAGATCACTAGGCTCATCACCTCCAGCCTTCTTTGCCTTACGTGGGTCAGCCCCATACTCTAAAAGGAGTCTCACAACTTCAACATGACCATTGTCAATGGCATCATGAAGTGGTGTGTCGCCAAGGTCATTGACTACATCAACATTACAATCCTTGCTCAAGAGGAATTCGACAATTTTATCGTAGCCTACAAGACTTGCGCCATGCAGTGGCGTGTTCAACGCATTATCTGCTTGATTTAGGTCTTCAGGGTGCTTGTTGAATTCCTCCATCACTCCTGCAAGATTATTCTTACGAACAAACTGGAATAACATGGTTGCGCCAGAACTATCGAGGTGTTTTTTCTTCTTTTGGGGGACAGTCACTGGCGTAGCAAGATCTCTGATGGTAGAAGCTGTACGTTGCCGGGGTCGAGAGCTACGAGGGTGTGAGCGTCCGCTAGCAGAAGAGTCATCGGATTGGTACTCGGTAGATAGAAGAGGAGGCGGTATTCGTCCTTTACGGTGGCCTGAATTATGGATCGATTTCGAGGGAAACTGAGTAGAGTGACCGCGTTTGTGAGAACGTCCATGGTGGGGAGACTCTGATCGTTCCTTCCTGACACCTAAAGTATTCTCCATGCTGATGTTCAGTGAGGGTATGTTTCCTTTCCTTTGCATATTGTTCAAGGCAGAATTTCGAAGTCGCTCTAATTTTCGATCTTCGTGGTCGACATGATCTTCGTCCGAGTCCGATGGGTTCTGTTTATTCCGCGGAGAAGCTCTTTCAACGGGTGTAGCCTTATCGGCGCTCTCTAAATTCGATAATGGTGGCGACGATGATTCGTCAGATCTCAATTCTGGCCCAGTAGATTTTGGAAGAGATGAATGCCGTTTGTTTTGTAGACTGGATAATCTCCCATTACCAGACTGAGATTTACTTGGCTCAGAAGGGTCGATCTTAAGACGCTTGCGCCTTCCTAGATGATTTTCGTTATGAGAAAGTGCTTCCAGTGATAAGGTTTCGCGTTTCCTAGACTCGGACGGCTTTCGAATATCTTCCTCGTCACTATTGTCCTCATGCTTGATCGATTTTCGAGTTTTCGAGGGCGAGTGGCCATTTTTGCCTTCCAGGACGATTGTTTCTGCTTCTGAATCACTCTTCACATCAGTATCCTCAGGGGGTGCATCGGGCATATCCACATCCCTCGAAGTCTCGGAATCGGTCACAGTCTCTTGTCTTCCGGAAAGCGTCGGACTTTTGATGATATTCGTGGCGTTGTTGACTTTGTCTTTTCGATCAATAAGGCTGGTGGTCGAGTCACCATGTTTTGTAGCCGTTGCTCCCTCATGATTGTGAGTGCCCATAACATCTAGACTGTGTTTCGCTGTATCCTGCGGATCATCCTGGCTTGTATTATGAGTAGACACTTTGATCGTGAATGGTTTTCGGGACAAGGAGGAGCATCCGAGTCCTTCAAACTGATGGATGTATTAGTGAGATGCGCCGGTTAAATTGGTTTGTTGAAGTTGGAAACCCGAATGGCGAACGGATTATATCATTAAATTCGTAATGTAATCGTGGATCGTGAAAATCTTGAATTTGGAAGTAAGAGAGAAAGTATGTGTACGGATAAGTGTAAATTTTGAGGATTGGTTGAAGAAGAATTGTTCCCAAGGAGCTAAGTAGTATTTGGGTGTGGTTTTGTTAAATGGGAGGAATCGAGTTACCAGATAGAATTGAATTACTTCCACTTACGCTTAGTCAGGACAAGCGCTAGACTAGGTATACGGAATACGGAACCCCACTCAGGCACTAAGCACAAAACACTGAATAAGGAACTTTCATGAACGAGCTTATCCTGTCTGATCCTGTCTATTCTGTCCATCCTGTCTATCGTGTCTATCATAGGACAATACGCATTGTCCTAAATGGTTCCATGACAGCAGGACAACAATAGAACGAGATTCGAGGCAAAACAAAGCAAAACAAAGCAAAAACTACACGGGTCGCTATACTCGATTCATGAATGCCTACATACCTGGGTATGGATGGATGGATGGATGGATGGATGGACGGATGTATGTATGGCTGGATGGATGGTAAATACCCAGCCATACACTTGACACTTGTTCCTCGAATCCCCTTTTTGATGCTTAAGGTACTAGGGAGGGAGATAACTAATCATACCCACCGTCTCGATCTCCAATCCAGAATCATACAGCAGATGAGTGAGGTGAGAGCATGAGAAAAGGATCTGTATACGACGAGGCTTACAGAACAATTACATTTTCAACAAATCTGCCGGTGCGGAGTAGAGTGATCTATTTATATCATACAGTACTTTGCCACAGAAGTTCTTTTCGCTTCAGATAGGTGAACGTAGAGGCGAACTTAGATTGACAGTAGAGAAGTCTAACTGAAGTCCAACTGAAGTCTAACTGAAGTCTAACTGAAGTCTAGCTGAAGTACCATTGAGGTCTAATTGAGGTCCAATTCAAACTACAGTATCATCGTATTCTTATCTACAAAGTACTCCGTACAGTACCGGTACAATAATGTAGAGAAAACTAACGACTAAACTTCGCCAAAGTCGAATGCCTATGCCATTATTCCAACCAAACAAAGGAGTACAACGCATCAACTGACCTACTTTTCTTTTTTTCTTAGCTTGTATCAGATCATCCCGAGGTCCTTACCTAAACTCTTTCTAGAGAGTCCTAACTCCTAATGAGTTCTAACGAACACTTCTTTAAAACTCAAAGTGCTTGTATGGATATCACTTAGCGAGCCTCGAGCCTAGGTAGTAGAGAAGTGAATGATTAAATCTTCGAGGACTTGGAAGTCTCGAGGAAGTCAGAAAGTCTACCGTATTCGCCTTTACGTACTACCTACCTTGGCTCCTTGGCTCCGTATTATTAGTATTCGTACTTTATTAGTGCTTTCTCATCGCTTTGCTTCACCTTCTGCTAGTTAAAAATAAATCTATCAATGGCCCTCTTTTTTCCCCACAATCTAGACTTGCCTTCGTCAACACGTGATCAAAGCATGATTTTTAAGAGGGAGAGCACGTGAAGATAACCAGGATGGCCTAACGAAAAGCTACCAGGTAAGGCTGGGCCGCTCACTATCTTTCGGCATCGAGAAGATACTTGTGTGCATATTATTCTTTCACCCCCTCTCTTATAACTTCATCTTGGACCCAATCTCTTCACCAGATCTTTTCTCCTTCAAACTTCACACACACTCTCACATTATCACCCCGAGATAGTTTAATTATACTTCTCAAAGGTACATATTCATCCAACATGGACATTCTACAACTAGCCATACCAACATCTCTTGATGAAGCCCGAATCAAGACCCTCCCTTCCAAAGCTTTTTACATTCCTAATTTTCTTACGGAGGAGGAAGAACAAATATTATTGCAGAAAGTAGGTCGATTCTGGGCTCATTCGAGATGTGATATTTGACATTTTGATTCCCACAGATTGCCACAGCCCCAAAACCACGATGGAAGCATTTAACTCATCGTCGTCTTCAGACATGGCCCTCTGATTTGACCAAGAATACTCTATTGGATGCGCCTCTGCCCAAATGGCTAACAGATCCCGTTGTCTCTCGACTTCTCTCCTTACCTATCTCGCACGAAACTGGAACACGTCATATTTTTAGTGATAGTCCCCATGAGCGTCCGAATCATGTCCTAATCAATGAATATCTGCCAAAGCAGGGAATTATGCCACATAAAGATGGAGCCGCCTATCATCCAGTCGTCTGCACTGTAAGCTTAGGCGCAAGCCTGTGCTTGGATATCTATGGAGACAAAGACGATGGAACAAGAGAAGAGCAGCCAAGGTGGAGAATTTTCCAGGAGCCAAGGAGTTTGTTGATCACAACAGATGAATTATATACAAATTACTACCATGGAATATCCGAGACGGAAGCAGAAATTGACCTAAATTCCACAACAGTCGCAAACTGGGATCTCTTGCGGTCTAAAGATGAAATTATTGATGGTAGATATGAAAGACAGGAGCGAACTAGCCTTACGTATCGGGACGTACTCAAGGTATCGAAATTAGGTTCAAAGTTAGGGATATTCGGCAAACGCTGAGAGACCTAATCTTACAATATGGTATCGATTTCCGTTTCTGCTTCCAACTATCTAAACCAAACTCTGAAGAGAGCATTTTAGTATAAATATGGTATCATTCTCCATCTACCCTTTACACTATCTACACCAAACTTTGTGGCATACCATTTCCTTGTTGAATCTGCAGTCACTCCAAGGTTTGATATTACAAAACACAACCCTGCCAATATGGTTCTGTTCAGGAACTGTCCCTGAGGCGCGGCTGCAATGGCAACTGCAATATACAGCAAGCATTCGCTGGTGTAATGAGGGCAAACGATGTGGCGAAAGAATGGGTTCGAGGGAAGAGTATACTTCTTCAAGCTTGCCAAGTGCTTGTGGCACTCATGCTGACAGACAGATGCAATCACAAATAGAGGTACTGCCACACAAGTCTTCAAAGAGGGCTGTGAGATGTCTATCGAACCTAGTGGATTTGTGGTCGCATCAAGTATGGCTTAGGTAGTTAGTCACTAATGGAAAGAATTACGAGATTACAATTCATATCACTCACCAATGCCTTCAATCCAAACCGAAATTCCCATGAACAAATAATACGCAATTCCAATAGCCCAAAGCCCAATCCACATCTTCGACTGGGAAGGTTTAGTGAGCGTAAGACTCTCATACACTCTCCGGCTACCCTGTAGAGCCATGAGTGTCCATGCCAAAGTTACCTGATTGACCGTCATTGATTTTGTCGCATCTTGTTGAGAGTACGAGGCAAGTAATCTGAAAGCAGGTCCACGTGTGATAATTTGAAACGCCCAGAAAATGGAAGAGGCCACGGAGACGATATAGTAGTGAGTGAACCATGTATGGGGAACCTGTATAGAGCCAACGTATTCGAATAAACGCGTAGTCTTGCTATGGGGGGATGTGCTTTTCTCAGGATTTGGTGTGAACCCTCGACTGCCATAGTTCATGACATGCTGTCGGAATGAAGGTATCAGAGTTCCACCTAAATCTACTGTGGTCCCCAAAATGAAGAAGGCTGCACAGATAGTTCGAGGATCCATAATCCTTATGATGAATCGCAATAAAATGATTTTCTGACAAGACCTTCAAGGATCCCCGGTGAGTGAGTGGCACATCAGTTGAATTGGAAACCTTGCCAATTGGGGAATTCGAAGAATATTATGCCTGAGGTTGAAACTATGCGATCATAGAAATAATTTTTGATGCAGAACCCCACAATGAAATTCACATCATCTTCAATTCCAAAATTTAAGATCCAGCTTGAGGGAAATCGCAACCTATTCTTTCCGCCAAAAACTCTCCCCAGCAATACATATCTTTAGATAAGATATCTGGATCTGACCAGAAAAATCCGCAATCATGTCGACCACCGCTGATAAGGTATACTCCCTCGTCCACGACCTTCCTTTCCCAATGCTAATACCCCGCCACAGATCAAACAAATTGAGGATGAGGTATACTCCCAGGACGTGATCAATTCGCCGTCGATAGATCCTAACGAAATGATAGATGTCCAAAACCCAAAAGAACAAGGCGACGAGTTTCCATCTTGGTCAACTTAAAGCAAAGCTCGCTAAACTCAAGAGAGAATTGTTGACCCCTACGTCAAGTGGTGGAGGAGCAGGTGTAGGGTTCGATGTAGCACGTACAGGTGTCGCCAGTGTTGGATTTATAGGTTTTCCATCGGTGGGAAAAAGTACATTGATGAGCAAACTTACCGGACAACATTCAGAGGCCGCCGCATACGAATTCACAACCTTAACGACAGTACCTGGTCAAATTTTATACAATGGAGCAAAGATCCAAATTCTGGATCTTCCCGGTATTATTCAAGGAGCCAAGGATGGAAAGGGTAGAGGTCGACAAGTCATTGCGGTAGCAAAGACGTGCCATTTGATTTTCATTGTATTGGATGTCAATAAGCCCCTGACAGATAAGAAAATCATCGAAGATGAATTGGAAGGCTTTGGAATTAGAATCAACAAGTCACCACCAAATATTGTGTTTAAGAAGAAGGACAAGGGCGGAATCAATATCACCAATACTGTCCCAATGACGCATATCGACCACGATGAGATCAAGGCTGTCATGAACGAGTACAAAATTTCATCCGCAGATATCGCCATTCGTTGCGACGCCACTATCGACGATCTGATAGACGTACTAGAGGCCAAGGGACGAAGTTATATTCCTGTCATTTATGCATTGAACAAAATCGATGCTATCTCGATAGAGGAACTTGATTTGCTTTACAGAATTCCTAACGCATGTCCTATCTCTTCCGAGCATGGGTGGAACGTCGACGAACTGTTAGAACAGATGTAAGTTTATGATTTGAGAACTTTTTTATGGAATTTTGCCTTGGGAGCTTTGAAAAATTCAATTGAATGGGCGGCGTTCTGAGGCTATAATCGACTTGCTCAAGAGAAGATGCAAGGCGTTCACCAGGAGCTAGCAGATTTCTGTGGTTGCCAAAATTACCTGAAAACCTGATGCTAACTCTTGAACAGGTGGGAGAAACTAAACCTTGTCAGAGTTTATACAAAGCCCAAAGGAAAATTGCCTGATTACACAGCACCAGTAGTGTTACGTTCCACGAGGTGCACAGTTGAAGATTTTGTAAGTGGCTATTTTCATGATTCCGAGAATCGCGTAGCACAGCATCAAGTGACTAACGGTGATCAAAGTGTAACGCTATCCATAAAACTATTGTGGACGATTTCCGCGTGGCTATTGTTTATGGAAAATCAGTCAAGCATCAACCTCAGCGTGTAGGTCTCAGTCACGAATTAGCAGATGAAGATATTAGTAAGTTTTCACATATCGATTAGGCAGTTGTCATGAAAATTCGAGCTAATCCATCATGCAGTTACCATTGTCAAACGATAAAAAACATGCAGAATAGAACGATACGGTGTAACGACCAAGGATCTTCCGGTGGTACGAACAGCGCGGAGAAGGACGATGGACGTTGAAGAAGCCAAGGATTTCGGAAGTTAGAGGAGGGGATGGGCTGATATGGTCTTAATGGCAGTGCTCGTCGGGAGTCAATGGCGTCATGTTAAGGTACAGACACTTGCGGGCCTTTGGGTTACTGGACTCTGGAAGAGATAAGAGGTGATTGCTAGTTACAGTACTAGCAGTTGCCCGTAGATTCGTACTCACGGATTGGCGCCCCTGCTCATTTTAGTATGAGAAGGCTACGAAGGTCGATATGAGGAAGACATAGATGAATATCCAAAAGAGATTTTTTTACCCCTCAATATACTTGAATTGACAGGACAGGGTTCTGAATACAGATAGATATTGTTTTATATTGGCATTTATACATGTGATACAATGCGCTGCTTGTGGGATTCAGTTATCAACTTTGATAGTGGCGAAACTTTTGAATGGATGGATGGATGGATGGATGGATGGATGGGTCCATCAATCAATGATCTTCAGGTAGGCGCTACGAAGATGTGATGAATGATATCTCGGGATTCCATGGGCCTGGGCCAGTTTATGCGCGTGGGGACGCTTGGATCAGATGATGGGACTTGGATTTGAATGCTCGGGTTTTGCTTGATTGGGATGAGATGTTTGGATGTGTGTGCGGATGAGATGGTTGAGGATCGGGTGTGGCAAGTGTTTGTTTGTTTGTTTGTTTGGGTGAAGTTGCTAATTAGGTGAGGGGGGTTGAGGATGAGGCAATAGTGATGATATGGTATGTACGGTATGGGGCATTGGGGGTTGGAACGAAATGCTATGTTATCAGTTGCCCGATGGGATGGGAGAGTGATGGAGTGATGGAGTGGGAGATAGATGAGATGCCTAGTTGATTCATGGGTGTCGGCGTTAAGGTGACGAGGGGTTACTGCGAGTGTGAGTTGGATTGGGATTGGGATTGGGATTGGGATTGGGATTGGGATTGGGATTGGGATTTGGCCGAGATGGAGTGGCATATTCCGCGGAGGGAGGGATATCTCGAGTGCCTGGAATGGGGAAGAACTAGGTAGGTATTGTATGAGGGATATTACTCGTTGGGATTTGAGTCACGGGTGAGAGATGGATGGAGGGATGAATTCATGAAGGAGAGGGTATTCAACTTGTATAGTAAGGAGTTCGAATGAGTGTTGAGTCCTGGACATATACCTCTGTAGATGCAGAAAAATGATAAATTCTCTCCTCGCTCGGAGTTAGCAAAGCGTCTATCTCATTGTGGTTTTCTTTCAACTCCCGATCCGATGGATCTAGATTCTCAATCCTAGATCGCCGGGTATAGATAGATAGATAGATAGATAGATAGGGACCGGAGCGTCACAAAAATCCGCAATGGTTCGTGCAACATCATGTCATATCGCATCATATCATGTCAAAGCTAGGTACCTATCTATAATCGTGGCTGCACAGACATCTTTCCTTCTTTCTTTCTTTTTTTGCTTCTTTGCTTCTTTCTTTCTCTATCTATCCATCCCACCCATCATCATCATCATCATCATCATCATCATCATCATCGTCATGAATCATGATATTCGCAACCTCGACTAAGCCTAGCGGTCCAACCCGGTTCTCCGTCATGTCCGTACCTGAGTGCTGACTCCTGACACCTGGGCGATCAAGCTGTGCGTTCCTGAAAAATTCGGCGCTTCGGGTAACCGTTTTTCGTAAGGTTGATCGCGTTCGCCTGTGCTTTTTGCTTGCATACATGATTGGGATGTTTCTTCGGCGGCTACACAGGCGTTTTAAGCGGTCGATGGACTCCGCTGTGGGAACTTTGGCTCTTTGGGGGATTTTTGCATGCTTGGGGGATGTGATTGGTTGGAATGGATGATGGATGGGATTATGGGATTTGATTGATGTGAAATGGAAGAATTGGGAAGAATTCGATGATCGACGCAGGCTTGGGGGGAGGGGAGGGTTTGTAGAATCGGATGAGATGAGATGAGATGAGATGAGGTGGACGGGATTGAAGATTAGTTCTACAGTATGTACGATAGGTATCAATGGAAAGAAGAAAAGTTCAGATAAGAGCTTTCGAGAAGGTTTATTGAAATGAAAATGGATGTCAA